CCCCCCATAAAGTTACCGGCATCAAATTAGACATATGTGTTAAGTCCGACAGCTAACATTGATTCAGTGCCTACTATGTGCCAGGCCCCGCGTTTATTGTTTTAGGGCACCTCTAAATGTTAGGTATTATTATCATTTTGACTGAGAAGATAAACTGTTAACATTGTTCTCATTTAGCAGTGACCACCCACCCAGTGTTCTTAGCGTTCTTTGGACTCTTCTTTTCTGCTAATCTCTGTCTTGTATTGCATTTTCTCTTATGAACACACCCCTTTCTCCCTCTTCCTTCTCATGAGCTAGGGTGAATTATTTTGAAGTGTCTGATGAAAAGGACACTTAGCTTGTTCCTTAGTTTTGTGCTCTCTCTTCCATTTTCTATGCAGGTTAAATCACAGATGAAATGGCTTTAATTGTTTGGAAATAGGGTGATTCTAAAGCATTTAGGCTTGGCTGTGAATTTGCTGTTAATGAGAGAATAAAAGACCGTTTATTTGTAGAACAAGATTTCAACACGTTGAATTTCTGGAAATTCAGAAAATCAAGGTGTAATGTTAGCTTACATTATATATATATATACGTATATGTACGTATATATATGTATATATGTGTATATATACGTATATATGTGTATATGTGTATATATGTATATATATGTATATATATGTGTGTATATATATGTATATATATATGTATATTTTTTTTTGGCAAGGCAGTTGGGGTTAAGTGACTTGCCTAGGGTCACACAGCTAGCGTCAAGTGTCTGAGGTCAGATTTGAACTCAGATCCTCCTGACTCCAGGGCCAGTGCTCTATCCACTTCCCCACCTAGCCACCCCCTTAGCTTACATTATCAAGGCTTTACATTTTGTTCTGTAGACAGCCCTGTGAGATAGGTAGTACAAAAACCATTTTCTTGATATTATAGATGATGAAACTAAGGCCGAGAAAGCTTACTTCCCAAGTTCACATGACAGAGTTAGGATTTGAACCAGGGTCAGTGGCTAGAGTCAGGAAGACTCTTCTTCTGGAGTTTCAGGCTAGCAGCAGACACCTCCTAGCTATGTGACCCTAGGCAAGTCACTTACCCCTGTTTGCCTCAGTTTCCTCATCTGTAAAATGAGCTGGAGAAGGAAATGGCAAACTGCTCCAGTATCTCTGCCAAGAAAATCCCCAGAGAGGGATCACAAGGAGGCTGAAAAATGACTTAACAACAAGAACTTCTGAGTTCAGGTCCATAGTTATTGCTGCTCCATGGTGCTAAAGTGGTCACCCAGCAGAGAAAACAGAGCAGAAGGGATCTTTTTTCCCTTTTAGCCCTATAATTCTGTGATTAGGATTTCACCTGGAATCCCTTCTTAAGTACTGGCTACTTTCAGTTCATTCATGGAACAAACATTTGTGGTTTAAGGGCCCCTCTGTGCAGTACATCCTGAGTTACGATTCCAGCCCTCAATGATCTTAAAACTTAGTAGATGTCAGAAGACATGTACAGGGAGAAATATAATACAGATTGGACTAGAGATACATAAGGAAACTAAAAAGTGCTTTGAGATCAGATAAGGCAAAGTACTTTCAGACCTGGGGGAATCAGGAAAGCCATCATCAAAAGTGTTTGTTGTTATCAAATTGACATTTAGGGATGGATGTGTAATTTGTGGAGCCTGCTAAATGTCTTTTCTTTCACGTTATATATATTGCCCAAACATCCCAAATAGATATTGAAGTAACTTTTTTGTTAACATGTTCTTGTTGTATTTGGTCCTTTCTGAGGATGCTTGAGGAAGGGATTGTTCTGCCCTACTCCATTGGGCAGATTTGAAAGTATTAACTTTCAGTGGTTCCACATTACCTGTAGGATAAAGGTCAAACTTCGCCTGGACCTTTCTTGACCTAGCTTCCCTAATTGTGGCTCCCCTTTTCTAACACACTGTTCTAGTCACACTCATTGATCCTCTCTAGAAAATTGTGCAGATGGTTTCTTTTCCTCTCTATTGTCCACCTATCTAATTTGTGCACACATTTTTCCAGGTTTAGGTTGCTTTCTTTATGAAATCCTCCTTGACAATTCCAGCCAACAGCGAACTTTGCCTGTTTTGGACTCCCATGTTATTTTATATACTACACATTTGATTTTTATACTACCTTTCTTGTTTTCTTTTTTTCCCTCACATAAAATCACAGAATCAAGGATTTTTAGAGCCAGAAGAAAGCTTAGAGATCTGCTAGTCCTGTCTTTGTATTTGATATCCTTGACTAGATCGCACACTCCCTGAAAGGGCCTGAATCTCCCTCACCCCTCCACCAAACTAGCGATGTCCCTTGCTCACAGAAGGCAGAGGATAAATATTTGTGCAGTGATTGGCCTGACGTATACCATTCTTCTGTTCATTTTGGGATTCCTGGAATTGTACATACCATGTACAATTGTACATGTAATTGTACAAACCCAGTTTAGTATTTAGAATTTAGAAGCTTCCAAGATCCCATTGTTGTCTCCTTTCCAGGCAGTCGTTTCCCCAGATTTCTTAGAGAATTTAAAAGTCAAAATTAGGGATAGCAAACTTCAAGTCTAGTCCAATCGATCCCTGAAAGGAATTACCACTATGAAATATCTACTAAGTGGTCATTTGGCTCTTCTTGAAGACCCCCAAGGAGGGGGAATGGATCCTCTTTCAAGTTGGACTGTTCTACTTTGGAGCAGCTCTCATGGTTTAGAAGTTTTTTTCACCTGACCTCAAGCCCAAATTGACCCTTTGCAACTGCCACCCCCCC